CGGCATAGGAAAAACGTATTGCTCATTATTCCTTACTCAAATAGAAATGTTTACATTGTAAAAAAATTAATTTTACATTAATGGGAAGACCATTATTCTCTTCTTTATTTTTATCAAAATCAGTTGACAGTTATAAATAGAAAAAAAAAAAAAAAAAATGAAAGCAAGAAAAAATTATTATTGGCTTGGTTTTTGTGATTACAGCAAAACCTCGAGGGCTATGTGCCTAAAGGTGGTGGTGGTGGTGTATTTAATTATGGCAAAGCACACTAGGGTTATCTGCCTAAGGGAAGGGATGCCTTCGTGGAGGACTTTCTAAGGGAAACTGGCTCGTATACACGTTACACATGGGGAAAACCACGAAAACACCCATGCAGCCAGCCCGTTCGCGGGATTCGAACCTCGGACCGAACTACCAGTGTTCAGCGACTTTACCGCTCGGCCGCTGGTGGGCCCTATGTGCCTAAAGAGAGGGATGCCTTCGTGGAGGACTTTCTAAGCTAAACTGACTCCACTACACGTTACACATGGGAAAAACCACGAAAACGTCCGTGCAGCAGCATGTTTGGGGGGGGAATTCGAACCTCGAACCGAACTACCAGTATTCAGCGACTTTACCGCTCGGCCGCTGGTGGGCCGAAGAGAACGGTTTATCTTCTATTTGACAGGAAAAATATTCGTTACATTGCATTAAAGGTTTACAAGTTAAATCATTTGAACGTACTGTCATGAATACGAATCAGACAAATGGATTTACTTATTTTACTTATAAGTAAATCCATTTATTAATTTACTTATTTTACTCATTAATTAGATGCAGGCAAAGTTCTTGTTAATTTATTTCAAACGCTTCTTTCTTCTCAAAACATTTTTATATATTTTAAAACGATACGAATTCTACTTGCGGCTCTTGAATATTTTTTAATTCACCATAATCAATTATCACTGCTTCAGCTGTCCAGAATAGTACCAAAAATTAAAGTTTTATTTTGGTTCTGACTTTTTTAAAACGATGATGAATAGATAAATTTCAAGTCATGATCAGGATAAATTTCAGGTGGAGATGATGGTCTGAGAGAAGGGATATTAAATATCATTGCTTATTTATGTTCACAGAAATACTAGTTACTTTCAGAGGTGATTTCTACGAAAGGGTTAACTGTATTTTGTTTTATTCCACGTTATTTTTGCATTTTGTTTTTTGCATTACTGAATTAAATTTACAGAAAATTTCCATGATTTTAACAAGCTACCATTATCATTACCAAATATTTTCTTAAAGAATCTCAAAAATCTATGCGCTAATAGTCCAAAACTGTTTTTGTAGTTTAACCGTTCAATAACATATTGAAAAAATTTTCTCTGAATTTTGTATAAACTGTATCGTGTCTAGTTAGTCCCGTGTTTACCATCTATCAGCAAATTTTGTTATGTTGGTGGCAATTGCTTCATTTCTGGCATTGCATACCATGGATATAGAACTATTCATATTAGTGAACGTAGTCAAAGCAAAAGTTGTTTCTAAGAAATACTGGTGGCTTACCTGAATTCGCTAGAATATGTTCAAAGTCTCTGTGTTGTACTATCCACGAAACAGTATGTCTAATAGATTATCGAAATTATTGAGTAATTGGGGTTTTTAGAGGAAGAAATCAGAAAAGTTAACTTGAAATCTGCCCGAAAATTCACCTATCAGAAGCTGGATCAGCTGACCGCTAAACCACAAATGGAACCACATGGAAAGAATGTCTTTTAATTTCTTGCAAGTTAATTGTTCCCCCTCCCTTAAAACTATTTTATACATAAGTCATGCAATCTAGATTTTATTTCATGAAGTAGAGTATTGAGGAATAATATTTTACTATTATTTATTGCAATGTCGATGCAGATAAGATTCTGCATCTTATTATTAAGCGATGGGTTTATAGGATCTACCGCCCTAGGCATGATGTAACATAGCGAAAAATATGTGAAAAAAATTAACTTAGAAATATATTTTTTCATAGTGCTAAAACTACACTCATGTCCATAAATTAAGGATAATTCGGAGTCACGCGGAAATCGAACTTTAAAATAAATATATCACCTGTAAAATCACTACACACATCTTCAAGAATCATATGCAAATTTCAGGAAGTAACCAGATGACACCGATGATACGTCACAATGACAAGAGTGTAAGAGAGTGATATATAAGGAATACAGGCAAAGAAGTAAAATTGTTACGCAGGTGCTTTATAAGCATTTCAGCGCAATAACCGAATAGTTATGACACAAAGGACGCATTTGGATGATTTTTTACGTGGTAGAATTATCGGAAGTCTGGAATGTGGACGTACTCAACTGGAAGTATCAGACGAACTTGGAATTGCCAGAGTGTCATCTCCAGGCTTTAGTAACGATTCCAAGATGATGATAATGTGAGTAGACGTTACAGCACAGGTCGCCCCAGAGTTACAACGCCGAATGAGGACCGGTATTTGGCAGTTACTGCCAAACGAAACAGGCGGAGCACAGCCTTAGACCTGTCGTCAGCTCTCTTCAGCCACTGGTACGACAATTTCAAGGCAGACCGTGTACAGACGCTTAGAGCAGATTGCTCTATATGCTCGTAGACTGTCAGATGCGTTCCACTTACTGCAACTCACTGTCGCCTGCAGTTAGCCTGGAGTAGAGAGCATGCATTGTGGACACCGCAACAGTGGGCTTGCGTGATGTTTTCCGACGAGTCCAGGTTTAGCTTGCAGTCTGATTCTCGCCGGACTTTCATATGGAGAGCTCCAGGTACCCGTTACCAACAAGAAAACATCATTGAACGACACCGTTACGGTGGTGCAGGAGTGCTCGTTTGGAGTGGAATTATTTTGGGTTCCAGAACTGACCTGCATGTTCAAATTGGAACTATGACAAGCCAAATCTATCGGGACGTCATTCTGGAACAACATGTACGTTTGTTTCGGGGCGCCATGTGCGCACAATTTGTGTTTATGGATGACAACGCCCGTTCTCAAGTGCAAACATCGTAAGAGAATGCCTTCAATCGGAAGATATCACCCGTACGGACTGGACAGCATTATCACCGGACTTGAATCCAATACAGCACGTGTGGGACATGCTTGGCCGACGAGTTGCAGCCCGTCAACCTCTTCCTACATGTCTACCAGAATTTCAGAGAACATTGCTTTTTGAGTGGTGTAATATCCCCCAAGATCAGATCGATAATTTGATACTCAGCATGTCTAGGAGTTGTACGGACTGTATTGCATCGTCTGGGAGACATACAATGTATTAACAATCATACCAACCATGTAATATTGGTTTTTTGTAAATAGGTTGTTGGTTTTTTTTTTTTTTTTTTGATTTGCTCCAGGGAGAAAAAATCGCTATTTTTTTAATAATATCAAGCATATAGCATCTTTTTTTGCTCTTTACCTTTTGTTTAATAAATAAGCTTTACAAATAAGTCAAATTTGTTTTGCTTCTAACTCTTCCTTTGCCTGATTTTGCATTATCCTTAATTTATGGACATGAGGGTATATCAAGAACACCAGCAATGCCTGCTGAAGCACGAAAATAAATTTCTTTTTCCGGCACTTATTAGCAATACTGAAAGCGTCCTTCTTTATGAGACGCCTTCTACCTGCACTTGCTTACTTAGTTAACACATTATCGTAATTAAAAAATTTTCTTTCTTTTTATTAAGTTACAAACATTAAATATCACATAACAAGGATGCAGTACTTACAGTTTTACACAAAGATATCGCCAATTTCAATGGGGACAATTTTAATAAGAATTATCGTTTAGAAACTGTTACAGCAATTTGAATTTCGCTTCATAGCTTAGTGTAAAATACTGTTTAAAATTTACTGTAACGCATATTTAGAATATATACATTTAGAAAATGTGTCAGATTTTTGCTCTTACTTCGATAATGATTATTAATAACGAGGTATATACTAAATAAATATTTTTAACATATATGAAAACTATTCCATATCTGTTAGAAGCATTTTTCCTTTGATTTAGTATGGAAATTATTTTATTTTATAAGAATGGAAGATTCTCTAGTAACAATTATTCTCGAAAATGAAATGCACTTAATGCATTTAATCACTGTTTTTTATCCATAGAATAATTCAGTTCTTTGTGATTTCGAGAATAACATTTTGAAAGTGCTAATCAGTATTATATACGCATAGCCAAACGTTTGTTGAAATTACTAAAATGCACTTTCCTAATCAAAGGGGAATATAAGTTTATGTAATCATTGTTCGGTCAATGCAGTGTTTTCACTCTTTGATTTGATTTATTTATTGAAATTTTGTTAAAAGAAACTGTACATAATAAAATAAGGTTTAAAAACGACATCTATTTTCACTTTCATACTTGTATTACAATGAAAGGTTTAAGCCCTCACAAGAGTGCCTCCCTCGACCAACGAACCAGTTAATATGCCTTCTATAATTTATGCAGTCTATTCACGAACTTTTAATAGTTCGTTTCCTCTGAAAACTACTCAAAGATAAACATTAACTTATTATAAAGAAAAAGTATCAACCTAAATTCCGTACCAAGCAGAACATTGTCTACCCACGTATGTGATGAAAGAAAAATTTATGCATGGAAATTTCAGTGCTTCATTAGCAGTTTGATAGAATGTATTTTACTTTTTTAGTAATTGACAAGACAAAATGAAACGTAATTTAACATTTTTAAACAGCAACTTTTATTTAACTGGTAGTTCACCAGATTTTAAGTTTGATCTGCGTTCGAATCAATGACAAAATAAAAAAGGTAATTATTTATCCGAAAAGGTTTTCTCTTTCTTTTTTTTCCCTTCCTTCTTTTTCTCCGAAAAGAGGGGCGACCAAAAGTGTAAATGCGTAACCCAAGTTTTGTCTCTCGAGTTCACGCCAGTACAAACGGGGCGGAAAAATGACATCTATCGTCATAAGCACACGCATTGGCTTCCCGGATGCTTCGATAAATAAACGGAAGTAGCTCAGCTCCAATTACTGGGTATCACCACTTCGAAAAGTTAAAGCACAGTTAAAGCAATACTCTGTTTGATAATCTTTCACCTTCTCAAAGCAAAGAGCACGATGAACAAGAATTAAAACAAAATGATATGACTACAAGCAAACAATGATCTATTACTTAAGAGGAAGAAATAGTTTGAATTTAGCTTTAAAATTCGCAATATTGTTACGGATTCCATGCATTGCAGAAATGGCAGGTAAGAGCTGCTTTTTATATTTATTTCATTTTCAACAGTTGTATTTTTTAATTGCAGTGTATTTATTATTTTATGACTAGGATGCTCTTTTTTTCCTCTATGCATAATTTCTCTTTGTTATGACGTTTCATGTTGGGGCATATTATTTTCGATTTTTCTATTAAAATAGTTTTTTCATTACATATTATACATACAAAAAGTTTTTTTCATTATATATTTGCATTGAATTTCTTGCTACGTTTTGCTGAACATTTATTTTTATTTTTCTGCTTCACTATATTACATGCTGATGCATGTACGTTTTAATTATTAACTTAGTTTTAATTATTAACAATAAGAATAAACTGAAAAATAGCCATACTAAATAACACTTAAAACATCAACATAAGGCATACACAGTAGAATGAATAAAAATTTTAAAGTATGGTAGTTTTATCCCAGTTTTGAGAACAAAAGTAAAGAGCTTTATTTTAAAATTTGTGATTTGTTTCAGTTCTTTTCTTATATGAAATTGTTGAAACAGAAGAAAAAGTTCTTTTTCATCATTGGAAGAAAGATACGCATACTTAAAAAAAATTCGCATATGCTTGCTCTGAGTTTTGCAGAATATTTTTCTTGCCGTCAGAATAATTTACAGGTAGATAATTTTCTGATCTAAGTTTTCGTTGGTTATTAGGCAGTAAACTTCAAAATACGATAGTGCATATAATTATGTAACTACCAATATATAACCCACCGGACATTTTAGAAGCATTTTAAATCATAAAATTTTCAGACAATGTCCTACATATGACATCCCAATAAATTAAGGGTTCATTCTTGATGATAAATCTTTCTGATAAGATATCAAATAGGATATGCACAAATATTATGTTCATCTACTCTTCTTGACACTCTAAGATAAAAGACTCGGATAATATCTGATATATTGAAAAAAATTTACAATCACAGCATTTTTAAAACTTCCAAAATAAGTTTCAGTTACTTTATCTCTTCTCCAAACTTCTCACCAACTGATGTCCATTTATATGTTATAAATTTTAAGAGACCTTCTTCAATTCGTAATCATAATAGTTATTATTAATTTTTTCATTCAATTAAAAATATAATCTTCACTGTTTATTTTTTGAAGAGCTACCCAGAGAGATTACTGTGACACGTTTAAGATAACTTCGTAGTTATAACCTTTCCTGCTTTATAGGCATAAATTTTTGCTCCCACAATTATGCCATTACTTTCATCTTTCATTTTTTCTAAAATCTTATTTACTTTGGAATATTATATTTGTTACTTTTTTTGGGGGGATAATAATAAATGTAATAAATGGTACCAATCATATGTTTCGTATCTTCAGAAAATCAGCAGTTTAAAAAAAAAAAAAAAAAAACATAAAACTGTCTGCATCCATATGCAGTAGCATATTATGCGAATATTTAGGTTTCGTAATATTATAATTAAAGCCTTATACGTATTAAATATGTGTTGATAAACCTAATATAATCATTGAAACATAGATCAGTTTATTAAGGATGACTGGAGTTTTATTCATATGAATAGCAACTACATTTCCATCAAATGCAGTCCGCTGCTTAAAATTTGGTTTAGCAATTAATTTCTTAGCTTTTTCACTGTTACAGCATAATCTCACATCAATTTTATCTCTAAGGTTTTCCATTGCTTTTCCAAACACTGAATTATTCATCAATTAAGAGAAGTCCTTTCAGAGCCATTAGCAGCATTAGGTTTCATTTATGTATTCACATCTATATATTTCTTTAACCAAGGAGACTGTCTAAATTCTAATACTCTACGAACCTTCCCAATTTTAAACCGATTTCCAAATATTGTTTTAAGTTACTATAATGAACAACATAGTGCTCTTTATCATATAAAGTTGTAAGTAATTTAGTTTGTCTAGAACCATTTGGAATTCTAGTTTCAACCGCTAAATTCATATCTGAATGTTTATCGTGTAGTTATTTTAGATATTTTAATTCAGCTTCTAATGCATACTTAGCATCTGAATCATCCATTTTATTAAACCAGTCATCATTGTTGCTCCATTTAAATCTACATAGGCTAGATTTTGACTCGTAGCTCAACCATATAAATTATTCGTACATTAAACAGCTAAATGGTTTACTTTAATCGTAATTGTTCATGTATTTATTATTTATTATTTACTTTTTTATATCTATTACAGCACTGAGCTACATCTCCTATAGTTTCTTTTTCTGAAATTAAAATCATATTATAATCACTCTATAATTACAATTCAATACTTGTTATTTTTAACGTTGCTTTAAAAGCTAATTCTGCGCTGTTAAGTACCATGCGGGATCTAAATCATACGCTTTTAAGCATGCAACGCCAAAATTTCAAATATATCTGCAAATATTTATATATCTGCTAACATCTGATTTTACATGTAAATCTGTACATTCACCCAAATTTTTAATCTCAAACTCATGCCATATTTTTTGGCTCGCTTATATTCTTCAACGGAACACTTACTTTCATTTAATATATGATCGAATTTCTCTTGAGCTGGTAATCTTGTTTCTTTAAATATTTCTTCAATATCCATGTAGTCATGAAAAGAAATACCTTTTTGTGCAATAAGATTTTATTTTTCATCGGAATAAAATTTTGAACTTTCTCTAAACATTTCCAGTGTACGATTTTGCGATAAAATATCAATTCTAGATAGCATAAAATTAAATGAATCTATAAACCTCAATTTCATTCTTTTACCTCATACCAGTTATTTTATAACTAGCACCCTATCCTGCTAAGTTATTAATTATTACAGGAATGAAATTAGGAATTTGATAACTTAAATTACAAATGTTATGTGCTTGTCCTCTATATTTTCTTGTTAAATGGAAATGATCTATAACTTTCCTTTTACCATCTGAACCATCAGGTATCTTTTACTTTTCACATATATGACAAACATTTGCACTTTTGTAATGCTCTTCATTGTAGTCTACAGTGTCCCTACAGTCTTTATATTTTTTCGTTTTCTCATCAATAAACTCTTCAACTTCTCGAACGTCATTCCTTAACATGTATAAAATTTATGAAATATGTCAGCTCTTTGGCAAACAACAGATGGTTTATAAAACTCATGTATATATTTAATGTAATGACTAAAAGTATAGGCTTCAGATTTCTGATATTTCATTATATAAAAGTCTGTTGGATGTGGTTAATAAGTATTTATCATTTTTCAAAAAAGTTCAGAATCGGCATATATAATAAATTATACTTTCATTAATTTTTTACAATATTCAAGTTTTATACATGTGTCTTTTTACCTCATTTCTACTCTTATAACTCAAAATCAGTTTCATGTGTTAAGTTTTCTTTTCAATAAAAGTATCTTAAACACCTATTACTTAGAAATATTTAATGATCAGTTATTTGAGTTCTTATTAATCTACTGATATTTTTTAATCAACAATAATGAGCATTTTGGTCCTCTTTTATGTAAAACAAGTTTATCGACTAAGTACATATCCACAAAGCTTTGGAAGATATCAGATGCTTCACAAGAACTTTTTTTCATTTACAAAACTAAAATGCATAATTAATTTTTACATGTTAAAATATCGTCAGAATAATCTTCCTTTCTCACCGCACATCCATTTCATCCAAGCCCTAGCTCAAAACTTCTTTTTTTTTTTTTTGCGAAACATTTATTTCGCGCTTCAAGGCCAGTTTCCACACGCTGGCGAAGTTCCTCTTTTCCTGGCGCATTCAGTCAAATCTTAAACCTCCTTTTAAGAGAGGTTTTTCGTTACATCCTGTTTACCAAGACCTGGGCTCATTGTTTTATATGTCTGATGGGGGCAACTATGAGAATGCATTGTCAAAAAGCAAACATAAAAAGCTACACACCAAGAAGGAATTATCCGAATGAAAGAAAAATCGATAAATGTGTTGTACACGCATTGACAGGTGACAGGTGAAAGCTGGTCCGGACACCCAGGCGGCTTAGATAGACTATTCGGGTACTGTGCCAAGTCCGTTGCTGTCTAGGATAAGCACCTCCTGCTACCCCAAGAGCACCACATAGGGAATTAATTCAGAGATGTTAAAAAGCATAATGTGCCAAACAAGGGCAAGTTTCATAATGTTGCTGAGAAATGCAAAATATTATTTGCAGATGACAGACAGACGGTATCTAAACATAAGACATTTCAGGTACAGATATTGCTAGTGAACATACAATACATGCACTTATACTAACAGATAATGCATCACTAAGCATCAAATTACACATTCGTAAAACATCTAATACAAAGACAAATACTACATTGCGCATACAAAGAAAAACGCTGACTTCATGAAGTGGTGCACTGGAGATAGAAGGACTCCCATTTCCGATAAAGTTTATGATGATTGTGAAATGGTCACTATTATATGGATAATTCCTACATGGCTATGTCAATCGAGTGGTCCATGTTGGCTGAAGAAAGTATTTTCCGCATTGTTGAGGATACAGAGACAATGGTCATGGATCTGTTGTTCGACCTGCTTTTCTCGTATATACGTATCTCTACTACCCCACAGAGTAATATGTCCATTGAAATCACCAACCAAAATAATCGGGGCTGACTAATTAAATTTTCTAAATTTCTCTCATCAACACTCTCATTTGGAGCAAGATAGACACTACAAACGGAAATCAGTGTCCGGATATTCACCTGTATGGCAACTGCTCGCAAAAGACTATTCAAGGGTAGGACACTTGATGGACAATTAATTGAGGTAAGTAAACCTACACCACCGCTTGCTCGTTCTCTGAAAGAGTTCTCATTTCTTATCACTGAATATCTACGAAGCTTTGCATGATTATCGGGTTTGAGGAATGGCTCTTGTTCTGCAATACAAACAGGCTTATAATTATAAATGAGCTGTTTGATACCGTCAGGACTCTGACTGAAGACACGACAGTTCCACGTTATGAGAGTGGCCATTAGAAGTTTTTATTATTGCAATGCTGTTTCTTTGTTTTATGAGGCAGGACATGATTTGAAAGATCTTTACCTCCCTCTATTTTCATCTCAGATTCGATGAAGTAAGAAAAAATCCCTTCGACAGAGCTTCGGCTTGGGGTTCTGTGTTTGGAGCTTTTAATTTTCCTTTTTAAGCTGTCCGTTCTGTGCATTTTTATTTGCGAACTTTTTGTTGTCTGTTTGGGAGGAAAAGATTTAAAAATATTTCGCTGCCAATTATATATTATGAGCTGTTTGGGCACTTACTGACCGATACGATTTGGAGGCTTCAGCATAAGAAACAAACGTTTGGTCTTGATTAACCAGTGCTAATTAATTTCTTAGCTTCAGAATAGGAGATTTTTTTATAACTTCAATATGCTATATTTATTTCTCTTCTTTTGATTTAGATGACTATTTAGATTGAGTATAACGTATGAGCTACATGATAATTTATACATTTTGGATGGGCAATGCAGTCCTGACATTCATGAACGGTTACAGAACAACGATTACACACCAGTTTCCACGACATGCGGCTTTTGCATGTGTATGACAGATCACCTAAGACTAAAAACAGCGCAGTTGATTCGGCATGTAAGGTCTGACGGGGCAGTTCTGGTAACCCACCTTAATGGACTTCTATAGCTGATGAGAATGGACCAAGATGAGAATGTCAGAATAACATGTTTTGTGTTAACAAGTTGACCATCCCTATGGATTTTAAATCGGCGAGTCCCACACACGTTTTGCTGAGCGAGTTCTTTTAAAAAGTTCTTTCTCAGAGACTGATATCAGTATTCTGAGTGAGTTCTCTGGATATGGTCACAGAATTATGTGGAGACACATTAATATAACAATCGTCCATATTTGCCATTTTTAGGATGAGATATCGTCTCGACGAACAGAGATCATGAACAGGAGCATTTTTATGTGTTTTGACTTGGCAGCTGAGGCCACAATATGGTTATGGACAAGAAGTGGTGATAGATTTCCTAGCTGACCAGTCATGACAAAGAACTTAGGAAATTCGATGCTCTCGCTGACCATGGCAGTGCGTATTCTCTAAACAGTTCCAGAATTTTTCGTTTCCATGTGATTGGATGAAGAAGTTAAATTTGCTACATCGTAAATAGAAAAGTTTCAGAATTCCATACCAAGAAAAGATTCTATACCATGGAGCTCAACAAGGAAATACAGATTCCCGTGTTAGGGCTAGCCGGGCCTATACGCAGACTGAAGCCCCACAGCTTCCCGAGAGCGGGAAGTTCTGAAAGCTTATTCCCAAGCTACTGACATATTGAATCAACCGATTGACACTAATGGAGGCAGCTAACTGCCTCTCGTTTCAGTTGAAGCAGGTGCCAAAGCATCGTGTTGGGAACAGTAACTCGCCCTCCACTACCAGGATTCTCCTTTCCAGTCGTACGGGTCTCCACGCACCGCAAACGCGTAGGCAGTTTTCTCACCATGGTGAAATAGAAACAAAAGAATAGTAACTCTACCTCACAGTGAACCCAATATTCCGTAAGAAGAAACCGTATGGGAGAAAGGGAGAAATGAAAGATAAGAAGAGAGGAAAAGGAAAAGAGGAAAGGTCACTGGGGCTCCAGAATTGTGACATTCGATCACCAAGGAGGAAATCCCGAGGGGTTTTCACATGTTATGTTTAGCTGGGCATATTAGAATGGCCTTCACGCCTAGGGGGCCCTACTTTGGTTCAAGAGGTACTTCGCGCATTTCGCCCTGTGGGCACCACTCGCCATGGCAGGACTTGAGGAAAAAATGGGTCGACGGAACCACATTGGTATGGAATCTATGTCTTAGCATAGGAATGTCATTTGTTTTACATGGTATCAAAATGCTCCGTTGCAGTGTGCTGGAGCCCCAGTTAGTCAGTCATTAGCCGTCAAACGTTTATGCATATTCTATCGTATGGTATGAGCATATGTATTTTCGTCCCATTCGGATAATTCCTTCTCAGTGCTACGCTTTTTATATTTTAAAGTGTATTTTAGTTGCTGAGCACATTTAATACTTTTCCATAAAGTTTCGCGAAAGCACTACGTTTGAAAAAATCTTTATGGCCAATTACTTGAGTCTAAATCGTGACCTAATGAAGGGCAGCTGTGTAATTCCTTGCGACTAGTCCCTACACTTAACGCTTTCTTAGAAATGCACTACACCAGTGACTGAGAGGTTTAAAAAGTTGATTGCTGGAGTTCGACCCTGTTCTATACCAGGCGAACGGACTGGCTTCATAGTTGGTTTTCTTGTACATAATATGAATACTAGCCAGCTTTCCTTAAAGAATTCGCCACGAAGGCACCTTCCTCTTAGGCAAATTTCTCTCATATGCTTTGTCGTATTCCAACAACGCAACGCAATGCCTAACAGACGTACCTAATAGTAGCTGCGTGGTCAAAGCCACGTTTGATTCCAACTGAATCAGGTTTTCTTGTTGCTAATTTTCCATGAAATATTTCTAATATTTCCTTTGCCAAATTCTCCACGAAATCATCTTTTCCCTAAGCAGAGAGATGTCTAATGCTTCATTTAATCGTTTCACCGTATCTAGATAATCATTAATACATTGGTTTCCCCTTTTGATTAGAATTTTTTCCATATTTAACATATGTGGAATTTTTTTATGCCTATAGTTAGGCTTCGAACGCTCCAAAGGACTAAACGATTATGGCCATTCTTCTCATGTATTCAGAACGCCTTTCGACGATAGCATGAAAGGCTGCCGATATAATTTGAACACAGACAGGCATATTATTCGACACATAAAATTGTTTATGTGAGTGTTCGTATTTTAGAATAGGGTTTGAAAATTGAACGTATTGCACATACGATATACACAATAAAAGATTAGAAAGACAAAGAAGAGTCGATTTCTTGAACCCCCGAGAATCGAGTTCATTTTAACATACTCCCGATGACCACATTTGGTGATATTTATATGGAACTCGTAAAATCCAGCAGCTGCAAAAATAACTTAATTGTCCTACATGGCGTCTGCGATTTGGCTGCGTCAAACTGATACCGCTGCTTTTATAACTGATTACGCTTTTATAACTATTTCCCAGTGCCCTGCGACCTGTTCTGTTTGTAGTTATTCTGAGGTTCAACCTGCCATGTGGTGCGATAAAAGATTACAAATTTACATTTCAATAATAAGGCAAGTTAAATTTAAAAATGTATTGAACATTTTAAAAGTACATAATTTTGCACTTTTATTTGAAGTGGTTCTCAAATTCCTTTGTTATTTCATTGTTATCTAAATCCTGTATTCGTTCCAGTATCTCATATATGAACATTTCCTTTCGTCTACATACTTTTATCGTCTTTATGATGATCTTCTTTTTATCATCTTATGCTTTTAAATTTCTTAAAAATTAGAAATTTGCATAAAAGTATTCTAAGAAAAGTTTCTATGTCAAGGTTTAATGTGCGGAAAGCCAGGACGTTCCGTTGGCTGTCATATTGAGGGAGGAGAGAAACTATCTTATCACGAAGAAGAAGAAGTTCGATACCGTTGTGACACATATGATGGTTTCATCAGAGGCAAAACTGTTCGCAAATGTATCAACGGATCTTGGACTGGAAGTATACCGATAATTTGTAAGTATGAAACTATAGTTCAATTTTTGTTCATTGTATTGGATAAATTCACAAAACTTATTTCCAAGTAAAGTTTATTCAAAATTTTGCCTCATCGAGAGACACTTCGCATTTTTGGGTTTCACAATGATGGAACTTCTTCCTGTACAAGAGTATAAAATAAAATATTTACATAGTTTTGAATATTGAATAAGAACGTCAATTTTCAAATATTTCATTGAAAGGCTTACCATTTTAGGTTTCCTTTCCCATTCATTCTCCGCTTCACTTGACTCGTGTAAAAGTGTGACCAAAATTTTATAACAAATTAACTGAATAAAAGAAAGCTGGATAGTTTAAAATGGCAAGCGTCATTTCTAATCCAGCACATTTTTGAGAAAACGTTTTCTAAAATTTTGAACGCTGTTAAAATAAAATTTTTGTTTCTGTGACTAAGATAAACTATAGGTATATCCTTCCGTGGTTAAGTGATTTAAGTTTGATTTACTTCAGTTAAGGCATTTCTATTGAAAACCGTTAGAAGTGTTCCTCTAAGTTTCTTTTTAACTCAAGTGTTATTTATACACATAAAAAAAATTTTGCGATATATTTCTGTTAATCATCTACATACCGGTAAACAATTTAGTCTGGATTTTATATTATTTATATTACGATTTTATTTTACGATTTTTACTAATTAGTAGTTAAATCAGTAGTAGTTATTTCCTTTTTTTAATTGGCTATCACTTAAAGTTTGTTTATAGTAACTACCACAGGCATTAAATCGCCCAAAAATTTAAGTCTATATGGAAGCTTAGTAATAAAGGATTTCAAGAGTATTCAATATCTGAATTTTCAGCAATTCTGTAATTTGTAATTTACTTGTATCATCAGAGTATGTGGAATAAAAATCTGTAATTTACTTAGGATTCATAGGTGAAATAGTTAGTTAGTGTTGTAAAAGCTTTCGACAATGATTTTGGTTGCAAAATCATCGCGTTTCAAATTATGATGGGAAATTTAAAAAATGGTAAATGAAACCTCAAAGCCGCCTCTGATAGATTACGGTGTTGAAGCTCCAACATCATTTTAATCAGAAATTCTAAAGTCCAGCCTTAGAATCGAGTTTCAAATTTGGAGTTACTCGCTGAATGAAAGTAATTTATCCGCAAAAATGGTGATCCTGAGTTCGAATTCTACCCGCAGTCCATGAATTTAAATCGGCGCCTGAGTAACCGTAAAGATGTAAGGGATGTACAAGGCTAGGAGAAACTCTCAATTGTACATCTATCTGTCTATGACGTCTTCTATGCCAGTTGAGAAAGTGGCTCCATCGGAAACCAGTGTAAAGGATACATTTTTCTAGACCCGCGTTTAAGTTCCATTACCGCAAATTAAGTTCTGTGTTTCATAAAAATGATTCCGTTTGAAAGCATTTACGTTTACAATGATAAAAAATTCTGATCATATGAGCGCTTTTTTTTTTTTTTTTTTTTTTGAAGAAGTTGCAATTTTATTTAATTTGATTTCCAGTGCATTCTTTTGTACAGCTCTTTGATTTGTTTGCGAAATTAATGTAATAATTATAAGTGCATAACTCATAAAATTGCATTCATTTCAAGCCTGAGACCCTGATTATTTTCCCTCTAGTATATTACCAATTATATAATAATGTATTAGAGTGATATATTTTCTTGTATGATTTTGTAATACATATTATAATATACAAACAAAATTGGAATACATATTACAATATACAAACCCTGTGACATAGCCGGCGCTAGGATTTTTGTTGACAAGTGCAATCTTTATAGTTCCTAAATGCTGCAGCACGTTGCTACCCTCAATTTTATAATTCTGCTTTCTGCTGGCGAGGCAACTGAGAGTTACAAATGCTCTCCCACTAATCTTAGATTCTCGCCTTTTGTTTAAACTCAATTTACATTCCTGGTGGAGTTGATGTAAAGTAAATATACGGGAAAGATTTAACACAAATTTAAAGTACTAATTAAACATTACACTATTTGCTATATGGGGAAATATGACTGCATGTGCGTATGTGGTTTTTTTTTTTTTTTTTTTTTTTTTTTTTTTTTTTTTTTTTTGTGTGTGTGTGTGTGTGTGTGTGTGTGTTGTGTGTGTGGAAGGTTATGTACAGTAATTAACAGCTTTTTCTACTTTGTGTGTGTAGAATGTACCTAAAAAAAATTTTTTTTTAAAAATTAGGGATTGTTTGTACTTGGGTACTGTGAAGAAACTCTTCCATTATATTTTACTGCTAATTAATGTGATTTTATCGTATCTTCAAATTGCATAATTTCTGCTATTACATAGTCAAGGTAGAGCATACTTTTGTGTAAACGTTGCTTAAGCTTCCGATTTCTGTATTACTAATATTTCATACTTCGAAAATTTTCTCTCATTACCTGTCGTTTTCACCGTAAGGTTCGGATCTTCTTTCAGAGTTATTACATAAAAAGGATTACAGTATATACAGAGTATCTCAATCTCACTTAAAATCATTGAGAGGAGGTAAAAAACATCTATATGAATCATATTCATTTAGGTCAGCAAGACCGGACACACTACCCTCAAATAGAAGAGACGTAAAGACACTGTAAGAATACAAAAGCACTATAAAATAAACTACAGAAAGCACTATAGAAAGCACTATAAAGTGCACTACAGAAAGCACTATAAAGTGCACTACAGAAAGCACTATAAAGTGCTTTATAGGGCTAAACGACAAAACAACTTTAAGACACAGAGTGCGGTTTCACGAGAAGTATTCAAAGTTCTGACCGTTCTCAGTGATGCATGTCTGACACCCAAGCCATAGAGATTTCGGATCATTTTCAAAGATACCTAGAGTTTCGCGGTTTTTAACAGCTCTCATAACACGACATATACTGTAAAATAACCCATACATGAAATCAAGTTTCCCAACTTATCATTCTTAAAGTAATGCATGTTCTCTGTATGGTATTATAAGGATGGAGAAGCCCCAGGCGCTGACCTGCAATGCCGGCAAGCAGCACCACCTATCCATTTTTGATCCTGCTTTCCTGTGTGAATATGGTTTATAGCGATATTCTTCCTTACCTCAAAACTACACATACATACTTCGAGGGATCTTGTATATCTATATAAGAGGACACTATATTGATCGTAGTAATCACTGCACATGCAAATTGTTGTTATTTTATTTATAGGCTTCCGATAGTACCAACTACCCACTCACATTTTTCATTATGTCTCTCCTCTTTATTACACCTACATTATTCGATGTTGCCTTGACCTACCATTTTATGTCAACTTTTGTTCCTCCTCCTTTTCTAAATGGATGACTGTCTCCCTCATGCACTATGACAGTGTTCCACGGTTCACACAAATTCTTTCTAAGAATCGACAAAGAGACACTTCACTATGATCATATTCTGAATCAGTGTATCACAGGGCACGGCGCTTTTCCCACCTACTTCCATATCAGAGGCATGTACCCCACGGACCTCTGCGGTATGTAGGGAAAGGGGTGACCCATCGTTATATTCTTTACTGTGATCTGACAGAGGGTTTACATCTGATAAATCCTCGCGATAATCTAATTCCTTTTAGAAAACACACAGTAAAGAATAGATATTTTAGAACCAAGATTAGAGACGTTCTTCTACATATCCACACATTCGGAATGTATATTTGTCAGGTCTAACCTCACAACATCTGTATAATTTTATTAAAATGTATAAATTTCCCTCGCATAATAAAATGTTTCAACAATTTCACTTTCTTTTGAAAAGCGTAATTCGGACATAGTTGTCCTCTGTATCTTTGCCGCAAAAAATCGTTTCTAGCAACTCAAAGACACAATTATTCAATGCTGATGAGCGGTACTTCCAAGAATATTACAGCTTCCGAATTATAAAGGCGATTTACTATTACTATTATTTTACGTATTTCTCCCTGAGGCATTGTAGGAAAAGAGGGATGCCTCCGTGGAGGATTATCTGAGGGAACCTTGCTCATAATAACACGTTACACATGGAAAAAACCACGAAAACGCCCATGCAGCCAACCCGTTCGCGGCATTTTAGAAAGGCCATTTGAACGAACATTTTGACTTTTGGACGCTTCGGTTTCCATAGTTTTCAAGAACCATCTCGTCTCTGAAATATTAGTCTAGCTACTATGCTCAACGCCGCCCATCCTATATAGTGTTTAGTGACCCAAGCTGCCGGACTGATAGGCCGGGGTTCGAATCCCGGAGAAGGCATGGATTTTTGTAAGAGTATAAGGTCTATGCGGCAGTGGAGCACTTAAAATACACGGCGAGGCGAAAGTTTTTACGAGAGGTTGATGATAGAGGAAGAGGGATTGGAAACCCTCGGACCGTCCCCGCGGTGTTCTTTCTCAAAATTGGGGCGTAATCTTAACATTTAGCCAGGTTCAGCAATACCTCAATCACTGTGGTACTACAGAGGCGCTGCCCTAACATCTATCGATACCTCTCCTCCCTTTTTCTTGCATTAGTTTCGAACAAGAGTAAAAATGAACGTTTTTTACATCCTATTCATCTGAATCCGTTGAAAACTCTCAGCTACAGTGCCAATAGCAGTAAACTCAAGAGGAAACATCCAACCATTCCTCTATTATTGAAACCTGTGTCTTTTGCACGTTTTTGAGGATTCTTTAAGATGTCTTCTAAATTTTAATCAATGCGGTGACTAAATTTTTTCTAACAGCGACCAATAGACTATTACAATCCTGACTAAAATAAATGAAAACAACTCTGTTAAAAATATTACATGCATCGCAAGAACTAACCGTAGCTGTCCTTCGAGACAACATAACAAAAAAGGCTGAAATCTAAGATCGTCAGGAAATTACCAAGACTTCTACTAAGAAAACTCTTCCAACTTTAAACTCTCAGTTTTTCTAAAGAAAATATGCTAATCTACTCATCTAGAAATATATAACAGTAAAAAATGTTAGCTGCTAATATTATAGAGGTAATCAGAAAAGAA